GCTTCCAGGCAAGAGCCTGGAAGTTTCCCTGTAGGGAAACAGGCTGGGGCCTGTAGGCCCTGTCAGAAGGAAGCTTCCAGGCAAGAGCCTGGAAGTTTCCCTGTAGGGAAACAGGCTGGAGGTCCGGGGCGGGCCCTGCAGGGCCCGTGTGGCTGCACAGTATGGTGGATATTACTAGGGGCAGTGACTCAGGGGAGGAGCATATCAGAGGGGTGGGGATATATTGCGCAGGTGGGTCATGCTATCATGCTACGAGTCATTTGGCTGGATTGGAACAATCTCAGGTTCCAAGGCGAAGCCCTTGCGGAACCCCACACGGAAGCAACCTTCATGGCCCCATGCAGAAGCAACCTTCGTGAGCCGCCGCAGTCCGAGCAGACTGGACACGGAGAGTAGTGCAAGGAGATGGACAGGAAGGACGGACATGGTTCCGGAAAACCTGGGGTTTGAGCCTGGCCCACGTTTCCCCAGAAGGCAAGCTTGTCCTGGGTAAACGGATTGACCGAAGATAACGTCTTATAAGGGTCTTTTGGACGCACCAGGTGCACTCGGTTCCAGTCGGCGGCCGCAGAAGGCTGAAAATAGGTAAGGGTAGGCAGGGAGAGCGTCAGTTTGGGAATGGAACGCTGGACTCAACGTTCCTCTTGGTCGGGGTCGACCGGGCACAGACCGATATTAGGTCTGTGTACTAGAAGGGGCAGGTGAAGTAGGGAGAAGTGACAGAGGGAAGTTTAGCGGTAGTAGTACATTTAGAGATTCCAAACAGTGGATAGCAATTGCAGTAAGGTAAGATGCATGTTTTGAAGTTTATGATTTGCTGAGGTTGAATTTGCAGAAGTTAAACCGGGTGATACTGTGGGAACAACTCCGGCTTGAAATCAAGGACTGATTCTTACTAAAGCGAATGTTTCTTTAAAAAAAAAAAAAAAAAGAATTGGCACGGCATTACACCATGAATGCTGTAGCACGTACGCCAAAGGATGAAGGCGTGAGAATCGGCCAACGTAGGTGTGCGACATGAATGCGCGTGCGTTCTATTCAGGTGGTGAAGACGGTCGTTTCCTTGGTCTCGTCAGGTCCACTGCCTTGAATCCTAGAAAAGTTGATGCTCCCCTCCCCCTATCAGTTTTAATTCTGGCCCTGTTGCTGCCCTCCTTTCCACTGCAACTCTACCCGTCTCCTTCACCTACTCAGCTTTCCTTTGCCGCCACGGCTTCCCATCCATACCCCCTTTTTGCCCTCTCTATTTACTTCCCTCCCATTCTATACCTTTGCCTCCTCTAGTTTTCTGCCCACGCCGCCCAACCGCCGAAGCCTTCGAACTGTCTTGTGCTGTCCGGTTGCATTTCACCTCCTCCCCCGCTCCTCTCTCTTTCCCCCGCCAAATACTTGATCATCTTCACAAAGCTCCCGTCAGAATCCCTGCACTCCCCATTGCAATTGCGTCAACCGAGACTCCCCCGTTGCCCCCCGCCTCTCTTCACCCCACTTCTCTTTTCCTGTGATCCCACCCGCGAGAGATCGAGCCCATCATCATCGGAACCCCACATTGACATGCCATCGACGCCGCTATTCAACAATCAAGACTTTCCTCCCGTCGACCTACATTCTCATTTTCCTCTATATTTCCCCTGGGCCGTAGAGACCAGAGATATTGAGCTCTTCTTCTTCTCATCCTCCTCCACCCATTTCCCCCTGCCCTCACTTCCTCAGTAAGCCTACAGTTGCAAAAGTTCATCGTCTGCTCCTCCTCGATTTCGCGCTGTCCAAACGCGCAAAACCCAATCACCTCTTCGAACTGCTCCTACATTTTCGAGAAAACTCTCATTCACAGCCAGTTTCTTTGCTCGTATAAAACGCACGTTCATACGCACTGTATCTAGACTAAAAGTTGCCGCAAATACATCTATAATGATCACTGCACTCAAAATTGGCGGTGTACCACCACCGTCCCCCTCCGTCATACGATCATAACGAGCATTGTCATAATCATTATCCTCATCATCATTTCCATCATTAACACAATCAGCATTACTAATAACATCATTTCCATCATGATAATCATTATCATCATAGTTCAATTGCATCTCTTGATATGTCTACTATTCCAATATAACACTGCGATTTTGAGGAACCCCGCTGTCTATCAAGGCTGAAACTGGAAGAAAAGTAATCGCAAGTCCTAATCAACGTTTCATGTAAATGATCTCTTTTTTGCCATAACTGGTGGTTAAGTGTCATTCATTAGCTGTTGATTGATTGATTGATTGATTGAGTGATTGATTGATTGATTGATTGATTGATTGATTGATCGATCGATTGATTGATCGATCGATTGATTGATTGATTGGCTTTTCGTCCACTGATTGAACGTGTAGTTGAGTCAGTGAATGAACTACCAAAGCCCAGAACGAAACAGCACTCCCACAAGGATCGTCTATCGCTGGAGAAACCTGAAGAGCGCCCGTCCAACAAATCAAAACTCATTAATTACCTGTTGATTCGTCCATTAGTCGTAGGTTGAGTTAATGAACTACAACACAGATAAATGACAACGACCCTTAGAACGCTAGAGAGAGAGAACGAGAGAGCGAAAGAGAACGAGAGAAGCAGAGAGAGAGAGAGAGAGAGAGAGCAGAACGCCACAAGTTTCCCCAGTCAGACAAAACGAGAGGGGGTTGGGTAGAAAATATAGTAAATGTTGTGATCGATTCTTTTCTTTTTCTCCGTTTCCTAATTCCTAAGATAACTTGCCGCCTTCTCGCAAAAAGAACAGAGATTCTGCTCTGCCTTTTTGTGTGTGTGTGCGGTCTTTTTTTTTCTTTTACTGCTCTCTTCTTGTGAAAGGATCAAAATCTACGCGAAAAGGACACGAATGCGAAAACAGAATAAACACAACTTTTGCCCTTTCCCACAAGCCGCACACCACTTCACGATTGTCCATTTGTAGATGCTTGTCTGTTGAATGTGTGCCGAGATCTATAAATAGACCTCTACGAATGTGACTGGATAACACTTTCACAGTTTCACTCATTAAGATCATGTCAAAGAAGGGTAAGTTTACTTCACATTCCCTACTGTACTTCACTCCGAGCATCAACGCACAATCACTCGGCAACTGCGAATGTCAGTAATGATTGTCTATTT